CATTAGAAAAAAAAAATGAATCAAGTTGAGCGTGTGTATCAAAGAAAATACTATTGGTAGAGCGTGTAAAAATTTCGCTTCTTAATAATATCGTGATATGCTTGCACATCAGCTCCTGGGAATATAAGTTTTCCAATTTATAGAATTAGAATGTATAAAGGATACCGTGAGATAAGATTATAAATTTCCCAGCCTCCCATAACTTATAATTTCAATAGGTTAGAAAGATAGAGCATCAAATTCTGTAAATTTTTGTGCAGAATATTTATTTTCATTTCTGCTGAATGCAAGAAAAATTTCGATTACTAAATAGTTCTAAGGGGTTTATCATTTTTGAGCATTTTGGATAATAACTATGGAAATCATAATTTTTCCTTTTATAAACTTAATATAAAAACTAATAATGAAGATCGATATGGTTTTTCATGCTTTACAAAATAACATATTAATCATGTTTATCGATTGGTCCATAGTGTGTAAAATATTTTACGCACTACTGATTAATCGATAAACATTTTTAATATATTATTTTGTAAAGCATGAAAAAGTACATCGATTTTCATTATTAGTTTTCATATTAAGTTTATAAAAGAAAAAATTATGATTTCCATAGTTATTATCCAAAACACCCAAAAATGGTAGACTCCTTAGAACTATTTAGTAATCGAAACATTTTTGGCATTCAACAAAAAAAAAAAAAAGATAAATGCACAACAATGTGCAGAATTTGATGCTCTATCTTTCTAACCTATTGTAATTCTAACTTAGAGGAGTGGTGGTTGATTTACAACTTCATTCAGCGGTATCTTATCTAAGATGTGAATAATAATGATTGATATATTCCGTGCCAATCTTTCAAATAGTTTTAATATGAATGTTAATTTATATACGAAGAAGTATCAGATCAAGCATATCAATATAAATAAAACTTTATGAATCCAACATTTGAAAATCAAAAACAGAGTTAATTTCATTCATACGATAAAAAAATGTTAATCATAGGGATGTTTTGAAAACACGTTAAAGATTTTATTATTTTATAAATTTACGAGCTTGTTTTCTCATATGTTTTTGAAGGGTTAATTTTACGGAAGATTGACCTTTCTTTTACATTATTATTTTCGTCTCATTGATATTCGTATAAATATTTACCAAATGTCTACTTGATATACAGCCAATGGTTGTATAAGACATAGAAATAGAATTATCTCAATTAATTAATTCATTCATAAGTATTGTCTATCATAAAATTATCATTGTGAAACTTTTGTTTTCATTAGATTCCAAACATAGCTCAATCGATAACTTTATAATAGTTTTGAATTTGAAAATGCAATTCTTACTACTAATGGAATAGAGAAGGTCCATGAAGCAATCAAGAATTTACACAATATAGTTAAAGAAACTCTCGTATAAATTCCATCGTTCAGTTTTTCTTTTGTTTTTGTTTCATTGTTTTTCTCTGTTAAAGCTGATGTAGTAATATGAAATTATCACGTAAGACACTGAACATTTCTATTATTAGGAAAAAAAACTCAACATTTTCTTAATACAGTCATTGCCACAATTTTTATGGTGAATCAGTGTATGATATTTACAATCAACAAGCAAAAATACATCAATAAAATGTATATTTTCTCGTAAAATATTCTTCATCAAAATTTGACCTGTACTCTTTCTCGAACTTTATACTTAACAATTCTTTTTACATTATACTCTCCGATGTGTCAAATCTTGATGAAAAATATTTTACGACTACATATAAAGTTTATAGCATATTTTTGTATGTTAATTTTGAATACTATATTTATTGATCATTAAAAATAACTTTTGACGATCAAAATTATTTTGAGCTGGATTTTTTTATATCTTTCATGTGCGGATGACTTTATTGAAAAAATATTAAATTTTTTTGCTAATACTAAGAATCTTCAATATCCAGCTTGGTAATTTTACATCATCATACTAACTACAACAGAAACTAATTAATTAAGAGAAAACCTAAGATGCGACGAAGTGAAGATATAGTAAACCCCCTCCCAGAATAAAAGGGCATGCCCTTATACAGTGTCTTGGCACATCGCTACGTTTTGGATGGCCTTCTATTGGGGGTCAATTTTTGGCGAGTTTTTAATTAAAATTATTTAAAAAATTAATAATTAATTAATAACTTTAATTATTGCTATTTAGGTGATTTTTGCTGAAAAAACTACCATCTTTTGTAAAAATTGTACTATTTATGATAGGAAAGGAAGGATTTCGCAAAAAAACATTAGAAAATCGGTTATATTTCCTTAATTATTAATTAATATTTATAAAAACTTCGATAATTTTGGAATATATTAATTAATTAGTAAATGGCCTTCTAATAGAGCGTTTGAACTTTTGCTCGGACATGGCCTTATACAGGGGGTGGCCTTCTAATATAGGGTGGCCGTCTATTTTGGGGGGGGCTTTACATTGAAAAAATGCCAACTCTATTGTCTTGGTACAGGGACATTTTCTTATGTTTCAATAAATAGCTGTTATCTTATCATTGAGAATATTTGAAATAGAAACCAACAGATAAAATTGTTTAGAGATATCACGTGTACTGACAAAGAATAAGTTATATAATACTTCATCGGTTTATTAAATCAGGTGGTTACTTTATAGATACAACTAATGTTTATTTCACCACTAAAGATATTATTGGTAATAAGCTCTTATAAAAATCTGATGATTTTCGAAAATCAATTATCATTGTAACAAAACTTTCTTGTTTCGTTAATGCTCATGATATAATTTAAAGAAGTCTAACAAAATTCTACATAATTTATATTGATTTATATCTAATACATTTATCCAATACAATAATACCGTTGGATGAAACATTAAAAGCTTCAAAAAAAAAAATGGTTTAATTCGACCGCGTAAATTTCACTATATTAGATATTCAAATTTTACAAGTTGATAAATATAAAAAACAATCTAATATATTAGATAGCGAACATTTACAAAAATTCGTTAAATAACCACAATAAAATTCATTTTTATTTCGAAGTTAACATTAACTAATAATTAACTTTTAGGAAAATATCATTGATCTATGAGAAAATAAAAAACTAACGAAAACATGCAGTACATTTTAGTTATTATTTAAAAATTAATAAACAATATAGTTTTGAATATTTAAAATAGTATCGAAACAAAAAAAAACAAATTGGCCAACAAAATTAGTAGAACAAACATGAAATCCAATTGATGAACTTCAATCAATAGCTAAAGAATTAAATTTAAGTATTGCCGCAGCTGGTCTACGGTAGATTATGCAACATCGATTATTTTTGAAGTAACAACAATTCAAATAGAATATGCAAGCTGCTGTCATTCATCTATCAGATGATCAATTGGCACAATTAATAAAAATACGTGGCACATCATTACCCGTAGTCATACAAAGAAATGTTATAATTAGAATGAATTTCCTGTAGTTTAGTCACTTTTAAGGCTACAAACAATATTCTAAGAATCATTAAAAAGTTTGTTTTATTAGTCTATTAAATTACTGTATTACAAATATTTGTTCTTTGATTCTTTTAAATAAACTGACTTTTGTTGATATTCTATTAAAAAGACAAACGAATAGAAACACTAGAAGTTTATCTAACGAAAGATATTAATGAGATTTTTATTTTTCTACATATTTTCTTTTATTATTTTCATCAATATTTTTATAACAACAATGAAGATTTCCGTTCTTAGATTTTACAAATACTTTTGAAATTAGAATTATGATTAACAAACAAAACAAAATCAAAATTTGAAATAAGATTATTTTAAAAAGAGCAATCGTTTAGATTCGATTTTTTCGCTTCAAAACAAAACATTTGTTCTATTCTTGTTAAAATTCACAACACCGATCGAAGTTCATTAAAATTTCACTTCTAGTCATTATATGTTTTGTTAAAATCCTATTATTTGTATGTATATTTCTTTCTTATTGCTTGGTAAATAAAAAAAACAATCGACCAATAACAACATGAAAGAAAAAAACAAACAAAAGAAAAAAAAAAGAAGGGCTCAACGAAAGACAATAAGACACAAGAAAAGAAACGGAAAGAATATCATCCAAGAACTTCACATACACATACATGATAAACACACAGACAAAGATAAAGAGTACTGTTGCAAGATTATATTTTTTTTCCCTCGGTTTTTTTTTTGTAAGTGCAAAAAAGTGATAGTTTAACAAAAGAGGAAAAAAAACAAACTGATTACATAAGATTTTTTTCTTTAAATGAACTTTATTTTCACTCCAAACATAAATAATTTGATTTATAATAGATATATACGTGTGCATATATTATCCAAATAACAACATAAGGTTCCTATATAAAGAAAATGATAAATAAGAAAAAAAAAAACAAAAATGTACACCGAGAAGAACAACAATGTGATCTAATCAAATAGTACTGTTTTCTTTTTTTTATTTCGCACACACTTCATAAGATAAAGCTAAAGTCAATATAGAATATAACAGTATTTATCGATTATAAAGCAAAACAAAAAAACAAATCCTATGTTATGATAGTCACATCTGATAAATAGGACAAGGGAGAAAAAGAACCATGCCACATAAACAAACAAAACGAATGAAATAGATTCTATGAATATTCCAATCTGAGAGAGAGAGAGAGAGAGAGCAAGAAAGAGAGTCATAGTTCAGAGTTTAAATATGGAAGAATAGGATACATAAAAGAAACCGAGGAAAAAGTGAATAACAGTTGAATAGAAAAAACAAAAATGAAAAAGAAAATCAACCATAAACCGTGCATGTTGAAGACTCATATATATGTTTGTTTTGGGTTTAAGTTTAGGTAAAAGAAAATAAATAAAGAGACTCAGACAACAACAACAACAAAAAAAAACAACCATCCATATTGCCGTGTAATAACAAAAAGAAAAACCAAAGAAAGAAAGAATAACAAAAAACAAGTTATCGATATGATATTAAAAAATTAACTTTCTTCTTCTGCTTCTCCTTCTTCTTCACCTTCTTCCATTTCAACTTCGGCTTGTTCTAACCAAGTAAAAAAATCTTTTGTTGATATTTCAACAACAGAATGTCCTTAACAAAAAAAAAAAGAAATATTTAATTAATATTATAAAAAAGAAAAATATTCGTGCATTGTTTACCTTCAGTTTCAGATGGATCTGGATGTCTCAACCATTCAAAAAAAGCATCTTCACTTACACATTCTTCATCATAGAAAATATCAAACAATAATTGAGCCATTTCTATGAAGAGAAAAATAAAATTGAAAATAAACTTTATTTAAACATCTTCAAAACCAAAAGAAGAGTACCCAAAATTTCACCAATGGCAAAAGTAATGTAGACTTTCGCAAGCTATCACGAAACAATATTATTATAGGATAAAGCATTAGAATACATCGCGACCAAAACAAATGGCATATTTTGATAGAGTTGGTTTTTTCAATGGATATCAATGTCTCACCATTCAATATTTATACCAATACTACACATTTCTATCTCAATATGTACTTGTATGAAACATGATTATTATTCAATGTGAAAGTATTTGGAGAAAATGTTAGATTTCAGATCGAAACTCGTATTGTGACTTGAATAATTAAATGAACATAGCAGCGAAGTTTTTAAGAATATTTTTTGCCACTGTTATCATCGAAAATTAGAATACCTTTAGTAATCGATGATTACATCTGCTTATAATACTGAAATAAAATTTTTTGAATGATCTTTGATTTGTGTTATTGTTCTTCCATAGATGTTTAAAAAGAAAATTTTGAATTCATATGAATGAAAAGAGTAAAAGTAGAGCTACATTCTATTTAACTTATGTAAGAAGTTAACATATTATTTCTATGAAGTTTTTGTTTGATATTATTTTTTTTCTTTCTTGAAAATAAAATTCTTACTTGGTGGATGTTCAAGTTTATTAACAAAATTTTGTATAGCATAAACAGCTTGAATTTCTGCATCTGGTTTATGTTCAATAATTTTCTTAAGAACAGTCATTCGATTTTTTGCAATATCTTCTTGAATTTTTTTTTGTGGTTCACGATTTATTAAACATGCTTCCAAATAAGATAAAACAATATTACGAATATAATATTTATCATTTGAATTCATATGCTAAAATAAAACAAACAAAATAATAAAAAAAAACCACTCAAAACTAAATACATACTGTTTGAATATATGTAATAATTTCACTATCAGTAACTACTGTACCTTGATCATTAACAGATTTAAATAATCTTACTAATTGTACATTAGCACATGGTCCAAGATTTTCTTTTACTAATGTTGTTGTTGTTGTTATTTCTGCTTCTATTGTTTCAGATAACCAATTATATTCATTAATAAATGAAGAATCAATAGAATCGGATTTAAATAAATCATTTAAGGATAAATCGGATGATTGCCAAAATCTTTGTATACGTGATTTTGACTAAAATAAAAATACAATCAATGATAAAAGAAGAAAAATTACAAGTTTTTCTTTTTTTTTATTTATCTTACAGAAAATTCAATTGCATATCGAATAATATATTGAAATAATTGTTTACGTTTTTCATCGGGTATTATTTGTAAAATAGATTTTAATAATAACATATTCGATGTTGGACCACCAATAAATGCACCAAGAATTTCACCAATATATTGCCATATAAGAGGAATATCTACTGCAAAATCTGGAACTAAATCAATAACCATTTTAAAACTAAAATATTTTTAAAATAAAATAATAGAAAAATTATTTTATTAATATATATATATTATACCCAGATAGAAATGCTTCATTAGATATAATATTTTGATGAAGTACTATATCAAGTAAATGTCCAATAGCTTTACGTGCACGTGGTTTAGCTTCTAATACATTTGTAAATAATTCTCGAATAATAAGTGCTTGTTGATTAATATTTGATATACAAAAATCTCTTAAATCTTCAATAGCTTCCTATAAATAAAAAAATTTTAAAAAATTCAATTTTTATTTTTATTTTACTTAGGATATATCAAAAGTAATAGCAGACGTATTTTAATTGTTTAAAGAAATTCTCTCTCTATATATGATCATTCGTCAATTAATATTATATTAATAAAATTTTCAATAGGATTTATTTGTTTTGATATGTAACAGTAAGACTAGATTAAAGACTTTGTCTTCGTTCTTCTCTCCAGGGGCCTAACTTATGGTAGATACTTAGGGCATGACGACCCTCGTTTATGAAAATTATCCACTATGTACTCTATAACTTCAGCGTTAAGTTACGTTTTCGCTTCTTTCTCTCTGTTTATCTATTCTCCTCTAATACCTGGCCATTTATATAGGTGTTAGAGTACACAAAAAGTGGTTTGGTTAGAATAAAAAGGAAATATGAAAAATAAATTCATCAAGTTTTTACTAAAGTAATTATTCGAATGTGTCACCATGTGATTTTTGATTATAAAGATTAATATAAAAAATAACGTTCGATAAAGGAATTTAACGAATGTAAATAATCAGAACAATTATGTCGAATATTTAATAAAATAAAGATTTTAGTCTACCGATATTACTTTTTCTATATAGAAGGCTAGGCATTATAAAAGATGAGATAAAAGAGGATACATATCGAAGATAAAATGTGATCTCATATTACTGCCACATATCATAATAAAAAGCTCTTATCGAAATTTTATTATCATGATATTAGTTAAAAAGTGATCAAATATCACAGAAATATAGAAATCTGCATTAGAGTCAATTAAATGTCTCACGAATCTAATTGATTACTAAGCAATTTAGAGAGTTCCGGTCATTCGTAAAAATGATTCTGATGCATATCTCTAATATCGAATGTTGTTTTTATTGTCAGATTATATAGAGAGAAAGTTTCGTTTAACTTTTTTCTAAGGAATTAAAATACTTTCGCCATTACTTTTACTATGTTCTAAGTATTTTATATTTACATTTATAGGTCGATTATCATCATCGGAATAATTTTCTGTATATTCTTCAATTAATGAATGTACATGTGTCATAGTTTTTTCTTCATCAAATGATGTTTTTGATAGATTAGTATTATTGATTGTTGATGCGGATGTTTTATTTGATGATACTGTTGTATTAACATTCGATACTCGTTCATTAATATTTGATTCACGTGATTGTTCACGACTAACATTACGTGAACCTTCACGTGAATGTGTCATTGAAATATTATTTGGACTAGTTACTCCACTACCAATACTTGCTTTTCGTGATGATTCCATTGAATTTTCACGTAATAATTCCTTTAAAAAAAGCAAAAACAAATGAAAATAAAAATATGAAAAAATGAAAGTTTTCTTTTTTTACGCGAGAAGTTTGGGATTGTAAAGGATAAGCAGATGTACCATTCGATGTACCAGTTTTAGATCTTAATTGTTGAACTGGACCAGTAGGAGGTTTACCATTTCTAAAAATTTATTATTTTTATTTTTTAGAATTTATATTTTATTGCATACAATTGTTAGTTTTAGTTGAAGATGAAAATAATTTAAAGGATAAGAACATTGAAGGAATTTTCTACGAGATTCATCGATAGTTTATTAGAAATCTTTAAAGTGCTGCTGATTTATTGCTTTTCAGTTGTTTAATTTTCATAGCAAAGCCTTTTTCCTCTTTCACTTGATACATAAGTCACAATTCAAATCAGCACTTGAGCATTATTCTGTTCTTCTATTAGATAATATCTACATCATCTAAGAGAAAGTCTTCCTATGTATGTCCCGTTTTTTGGTTAAAAACTACTGTAGAACTTATAATCGTCTTTATCCACGACAAAGTCTCAAATGTCTAGTAAAAAAATTTCGACATAGTTAATATCAATCAAATAAGAGAAACGAGAAATGAATATTAGAATCTGTTTCAACAAAAAAAAACTGATTGATTTAAAAATTCAATTAAAAAAAATCGATGGCAATATCAACTCGTTCTAAAGCATTAGTAAAAAATATTGACGAAATTGATTATCAACACAAATTAAATGAAAGAGTTGCATTCAATCGAATTTCATTCATGCAATTTTTATTATTTTAATTCTATTCTGTAAGTTATGAGACAATAAACTTGACAAAAAATATTCAATGGAAACTTTTAGAATATTCAATATCTATTGATTATTTTTTAAAAAGGAATACAAATACAAATAGAAATGATTTCAATGCTGATAAGCATAGCATATTTAGAACTCATGCAGTCAGCTGCCTTCTCCATTCGAGCGACAATCTAATTGCATTTCTCAATGACGAAGAAATATATCTCAAAATAGAACAAATAAAATGATTTCTCTGTGATTAGCAAGACCAGCTCTATATAGTGCATTTCGGATTTTAATTCTGCATGATAGTGCTAATAGTTTTTTTTTTCTATAAATCTATTCTATATCTCTTACCGTCCAGTATTTGAACGATCATTTTCAGGTTTCTTTTCAACCGCTGATCCTCTAGACCATGCACCTTGCGGAGCTAAATTTAATGGCTACAAAAAAAAAAAATAATAAATTATTTAAATTTCTTTATATTGAATATATCTTACTAATGGTCCTTGATTTCTTTTATCATTTGATTGTAATTGTCGTACTGAATTAACATTAAAACGATTTCCACTTTGTTCGTCATCTGTTCGATTTGATTGTTGTTTACTACTACTACCACGAGCACCACGTGATTCAGTATATTGTTGTGAATTATTATTTCCATAATTATTACCGCCAGTACGATTCGATTCACGACGTTGTGCTTTATCACGTTCTTGATCACGTTCTTGTTGTTCACGTTTGATTCGTTCTTGTTCATGAATTTCATCAATTGTTGTTGGTTTCGATTCAATTCGACGAGCAACCCAATTAGCCTAATTAATATATATATATATATATATATTTAATATAAATATTTGGTCTTACTTTTCTAAAATCCATAACATCTTGAATCATAAATCGTATACGTGCTGATGTTTGTCGTTGTGTAATAATACTTTCTAAATCATTATAATGTTTTTCCAAATTTTTTCGGTTTGTTGACTAAAAACAACAAGAATTTATCAAATCGTACTGATATATATATATATATATAAATAAAACTTTAGAAAAAACAAAAATCATGTAACATATATTAAACAAGTGCAAGCAAGACATTATGTGCATATGAATTATTTTTAACACTTACTTTCTGAAGTAGACATAAGAAAAAAAGAAAAGAAAAAAAAATATTCTTTGTTTTTTGTTTTCTTTAATTATAAACATACTTTGTCACTTGTTTTAGCATCAAGTTCTTTGCCAATTGTATTTAAAAGTTTACATAAACACTCGATACTTTCTTCATCAGTTTTATCTCGTAGTAAATATTCAATACAATCATACATAATTGTATCTGTTAACATTTGTAATTTAAATAATTCACCAATGAAACTAAACGAAAAAAAAACGAAATTTTTATAGAACTATTTCTTTTTCTTTTTGTCTCTACGAATATCAACTCATAGTATCTAAATCAATGGATAACGAACTGAAAAGATTTACGTGCTTTGACATAGAATCCTAGAGAGAGTTGTGATCTTTCAAACTAATTGCAGAATGAGGCTTTTCCTTCTTGATTAAATTATAATAGTGATAAAATAGATAGTCTTAAATTTAATGATATTTTTCATTAGTTTTACTTACAAAATATTGCCTAATTTTTTTCGTTTAGCTTTAGCTAAATCTTCTTCTAATTTTTCACTTTCTTCTTTTTGAATTTTTTCATCTGTAATAGTTTCAACTTCACTTTTACGTTTTTCATAACCAATTTCTTGTCTATAATCATTTTCAAATTCTTTTTGACAACGTGTTAATAATAATTGTCTAAAACTATGTGTTATTCTTTGACCATTTTCATCGGGTACAGTAACTTGTTTTCTTTGAAAAAATTGACATAATCTTGCATATAAAAATGAAAATTTTGGTTCGTCAACTGCTTTTGAAAAAATATTTGTTATCATTCCATCTAAACGTTCATAACGATCAAGTTCAAGTTCATCAAGTTGTTTTAATAATTTATCATAAGTTTGTGGTGTAACTTTATTTAATATTGATTTAATATCACGTAAAAATTTAATATTTAAATCAATTTTATTTCGATCAGCTAACGTATATGGATTATCACTTCGATTACTTAATGGTGGTTTATCTATAGATATATTTGAACCTCTAGTAATATTATTTGATATTGAACGAATAATAGGTGGATCAGTAACACCATCAATAGATTTAAGAGCCATTGGTCGTTTTTGTGCAACAGGATCTAATCGTTTATTAAGAAGTTCTTGTTTTGTATAACTATGTCGTCTTGATATTGATGGAGTTTTTCCAATATTTGTTGATTCAAATTCCAAATCAATCGATGATATTGGTGTTTCTGGTGGTGTTACACATTCTACAGATTCTGTATTAGATAATGATGGCATAGCTTGAAATTGAAGTGTTGTATTAGAATCATTAGATGAGACAGTTTCTGTTGATACATTTTCATTATTAGTTTGATTTGTTGAATTATCAACTGTATCATCAGACTAAAAATACACAAAAAACAAAATGTTTTTTTTTTTGTTTTTGTGATAATTATTCTTAGTTTATTTCTTTCTTTTTTTTTTTAGTTTTTAAATGAATTTTACCCGAAAATTTCGAATATAAGTTCTTTGTTTATGATGTCGTTTAGTTTTTATTAACATAATTACAATGTTTGATTTAATTAAAATACATGTACTGTGTCCTTATATATATATCTGACTGTTTACCTATCGTTGTATACAAATGAATTATTAGTATTTTTTTGTTATCGCAAAATATTGTTGTTTACTCTCATATACTAAATACTAGAGAAAATATTCTTAGACAGAAAGAAAAAGACAAGAATAAAATCTCTTATGAGTCATAAAGAAATAACATATATATCTATGATAGATGGTACTGTAAAAAAAAGAGCTGTAGATGACGATCCATTTTTCGAGAAGTCGAAAAAAAATGACTAAATGAAATGAACTTTGTTCCCTCCCAGTGTAAAATGAGTAATATACATTTATCTTTAGGTGATCTTGTGCAATAATACAGAACGAAAAAAAAAAAATATCGATAATACAAAGATTTTTCCAGATATTAAGTAATAGGAAGAAGAAACTGGAAAAAAAAACAAGACTAAATGAAATGAATTTTTTTTCCCAGTGTAATATCATTTATCTTTTTTAATAATATAGAACGTAAAAATTAAATAAAATATTTTACCGTTGATTGAACTGTTTCAAGTTGTTTTTGAGAATCATTTTGATCTTGATTATTATCTTTTATATCATCTTGAATTTTTGATTTATCTTCAGTTGTACTTCGAATAGAACTACCTGGCTGAGATTGTTCAACTAATTCATTTGGTATTGCAGATTTTGTTAGAGATGTTGAGTCTGATTGTGGTGAAACATCTTCTGTTTGTTTTTCTTTCGTTATTTTTTCATCAGTCGAATCATCAGTTGATGATTGATTTCCATTCTAATAAACAAAAACAAAAAAAAAAATTTTTTTATTATATGATACAATTTGTTGATTTTTTATAATATAAATTTCTTTTAGAAATTCTCAATATAATTGACTAGGACTTTATTTTTTTTTCTCTCCGATTATACCTTATCTGTTTGAACAGTCGGATCTAATAAACGAGCAAATTGTGTTAGAAATACTTGTCGTGTTTGTGTTTTATTTGTTTCATCTGGTTCTTTTGAATCAGTTGTTGAATCTTTTTGACGATTATCATCATTTGTTGTCGTTGTTGTTGTTGAAGATGTATGACTCGTTGAATTTAATCCTTCAATTTCTAAAGCTTTCTGTGAAACTGGATCAACAATAGGTATCGGCTTTTTTTGACGTTTTTCTTAAATGAATATATGAAAAAAGAGAAAGTTTTTTTTTTTTGTATTATAATATTAAAAAAACTAGTTTTATACCTTTTGATTGGGAAGGTTGCGACAATATTCCATGTGATTGATCAATCTAGAAACAAAAAAGAAAATTTAAAAAATAGACTAAATAATCTTTACTGATGATGATTGAGATGTTTGTGTTTGATGAGTTTGCGATGATTGCGTTGCTTGTTGATTATTAGCTGTAGAATATTGCAATTGTGATTGTGACTGATTAGATATTTGTGATGATGATGTTGGTTGTGGAAAATTTTGTGTTGAATATGCTTGTGGTGTAGCATAACCTAGAACAATGAATTAAAGTATTTTTTATTTTTGTTTTTCAATTTTTCTAGAAGACAAAAAAAAAATATTTACGATAAAATTGTGATTGAGCATACATATGTTGTGCTGGTTGTATATTACTATTTCCATATCCTGGATATGCTGTTGATGGGATATAACCTGGTGTTCCATTAGAAGTTTCATTTGGTGGTCGAATAATAGGAACATATGATGGATTCTATTAGAACAACATAATAATGATAATAATTTGAGAATAGATAAAATTTAATTAAAAATATTTACTTGTGCTCGTGGATTATTTGGATGAAATGGTGGAGCTTGTAAATAAGGACGAATATAAATAGCTTGTTGTCCATAAACACCCGATGGATTATAAAACTAAATATTATGAATTCTAATATAAAATATAAAGAATTTTCGTATTTCGTTCTTACTGGTGGAGCCATATGTTGTGATTGTGGAAATGTATTTGAATTTGTCATGGAAAAATCTGTAAATATTCAATAGAACAATCTTTCATGAATTAGATATTAACACAAAAAAAAACAAGCTTACGTTCTATTCCATTTGGTAAATAATAAGCAGCTGCTGCTGGATGTGTTCCTGGTGAATTAGGATAATATGTTTGTTGATCCGTATTCATTGATTGCATTTATAAAATTTAATAGAAAATATGATAAATATATAGAAATGAAATTTTTTATATATCTGATTAATATATTATTTCAATTTATATAAACATAAAATACCGATTCATTTTAAGTAACCGTCAATAAATTGTTGAATTCTCACTGTTCAATATTAATATATAATAGATAACTAATAACCTTGTAATTAATAACGATGATTAATATAAATATATATGTATATATATATATATATATATATAAGTTAAAAGAATAATAACAATGATAATAATAAAATGTTAACTAGTTGTTATCGGTATAAATTGGACGAATTAAGTTATTTGTTGTTATATGAGTAAATACTAAAAAGAAATGAAAATATTAAATAGGTCAAAAATAAAAAAAAAGAAAAGAAAACATTTTTTTTATTATTAAATGGATGATTAGCTTGTGTGTATGAAAATATATATACACTCAGCGCCCGTACGTCCCATATGTAAAAAGAATGAGTGAAGAAACGAACAAGAAAAGACACATCGGTGTTGCTGTTCGTCTCGTTTTTTTTTACGTATTGTTCTATGCGAGAGAGAAAAAAAAATCTAATTTAAAGAAAAGAAATTTCGAAATTTTTCTTCTATGAGGATACCACATTCATTTTAATTGGTTTATATTCATCAATCAAATTCGAATTCTTTTAGTTATGAGCCTCCAAACGGATTTATTCTTATTTTTATTTCAAAAAAAAAAATAAATAAATCAAATAAATTTTCAAATCAATATTCTTTTCTTAATTACTAATTAGTAATATAGATTTTTTAAAAATAAGATGTCACTAGGTTCTATTGGTGTCAAGTTAAAACATAACTTTGATAAATCCAACCAGTGCAAGGCAGAAGACAATAATACTAATCAAAATAAATATCAATTGAATTCTTCGAAGATTATTTTTCCAACAAGTTTGTCGTTGATTTTCTTCTGACAACCGTCGAAATATTTTGCCTTTAGTACTTAAATTTTCAGCTGCTTGACTAAGTTGGTCCAGATTATAATGACGTATTTGTA